CTTTGTTTTATATACAATGTCCAGGTTTTTTTCATTGTACTTAGCAGGAAGATTTAGGAAAAACTACATCTACTCCATCTCCCTGGAAGTGAACATCTGCCACGTCCATTTTTTGTTTTTAATTGGCAAGGCAATATATAATTTTCAAATTAGGTTCTTTAAGTAATCAAACAGAACTATGAAAAACTTATAATTGTATTTTGTATTAAAAAGAGAAAATTTAAAATAGCAAAATGACAGAAAGCGTCTCTATCTGTAAGCTATTTTTTATATCCATTTCACTTCCACTTTCTAATTCCTACCACTTTGTTTCTTGACTAGCAATAAATGCTCATTTAGGACCTACAACCCTTCTGTTTAGATGTGAGCTTTTCTCACTTAAAAGTTCTTACTGAAAAAAAAAAAAAAAAAGTTCTTACTGAATGAGTCCCACATGGGGGCATATCCATTTGATTCATTGCTGTTCCCCTATGTCTACCAGAAGGCCTGGCCACATACTACTACTTAATAATATCTACTGAATAAGTGAATGAGAACTCAAAATTTAATTTTTTTCTTTCTATGAGAGCTTATCTACTTTCTTCTTACTGTGCTGAAGCATGGGGCATATGTGTGTGCCATGCTCAATTTCCACCAAGCACTCTAAGGCTTAGGACATTAGCAAAATTTGTCCAGAATTTTGCAATCAAGAAAAAAGCATTTTTAATTTCAGTACATATGTAAGTTTTGTTTTATGGTTTACAATTGTTTGTATTCTGAATTACAAATGGAGAGGACACCAGGATGTTTCCCACGCATGTGTGTGTACACATTCACTCCTACCGTTCCTCAAGAAAGCGACCCAAGGACCATGACTCAAAAAAGACTGTAGACCTTTTCCAGGATATTTCCTTGGTCCCTGATTTTTTTTTTTTTTGATGGTTTTCTTTTATTAAACAAGTCATGGTTTGATTATTTTTTTGAATTTTTGTCAGGTATTGTGCAGTGTGTGTGTGTGTGTGTGTGTGTGTGTGTCTATACATGGAGGAGGGATAACATTAGTCCATAATTTTGTAAGGCACTGAATATAATTGAAAAACTTTTGGTAACATAGTTATAAAGATTCCCTCATTGTTGAAAAATTGAAACATTTTTAAATGCAGATAGGAGAACATGATTCTTTTTAGTACTACTGAGTATATTTGGCTTAAATACTTATAAGACTTGCTTTACTGCTTGGCTTTAGATTCTGCTTAAGGAAATGGTGAAAGATTTAGCTCACTGTACTTTTGTTAGAAGGTATGGAAATGTTTGTCCACTGGAACTTTCATTGTCTGCTAGAATGGCAATTCATTCAGCAGAGGGAACCATTTCATTTTAATGCCTAAGAGCTGTTGATATATTTCCTGAATCTTTCAAAGGCATCTTTCATGCCACACAGGAAAACTGTAGCTTGTGAAGGAACAGAAAGAACACTTCTTACATGAGTCAATCTCAGCAAAGTTGCACAGCAGCTGTGCTAGGTACTGATGAGGATTACCACAGGACCCAGTTGCAGGGGTTTGTGTGGTTGAGGAGACAGCTGGCTCCCTCAGGGGACCACTTTGAAGGAGATTGCAGCAATAATGCATCCCCACTGTTGCTAGTGGATATTGTGGCCATGTAGTACAAAACTGGTGCCAGATAAAATCAGAAAGTAATAAAAAGCAAGACGAAACTCAGAGATTTTAAATCTTAATGTGAGGGACTAAAACAAATGTCCTGGGCTTGTTGCATTCACTCATAAGGAAAAGGAGACAGAGGAAGGGATGCCTTTAAACTCAGAAAACTTACAGAGACTTCAGTCTTTTCATTTGAGAACCATTTGGGTGTGTTGTGAAATAAAGTTGCAGAGTAGGCATGTTCAGACCTTTATTTGCTACATTTAGTAGGAAAGATTCTCCGCCCCCCCGCCCCCCCCCCCCTTAACTACAAGGAGCCAGAGTTTTCCGTGCAAACTGAAGCAGGCATTGCAAGAATCAGATTCACTTTGGACGACTCTTCACATTCCAAGTCATCATTGCATTAGGCAGCACAATTCCATCTCTGGTTGATGGGCAGAAAAAGTGGGCAGCTTGCCAGGTAGACGTTTCCATGACTCCCAGCCCCCAAAGGTGATGCGTTTTTCAGCTAATTCAATGAAGAGTGGGCTGAACTTTGGGTCTAAACGAGACAATAGCTGCCTTCGCAGTATCAGCAGAATGGGTGATGGGAACGCACTCTACATTTGGCAGAGAATCATGTGACCTTACGACTGAGATTTTGTGATGGTGCCAACGGAGACTTGGAAAGCAGCAACCGTCCTGACTTTTTTCTTCTTTTTTAGCATGGCTCAGAAAATGGTGGATCTTAGTACTTGACTTTAGCCAGACTCAGCAAGAGACTGAGCTTTGCAGCACAACTTCGCCTTTATTCTGGGTTTTTGGCAGGCCACCAGGAGGCTGTCCCTTTCACGCCTGATAAATTCTGCTGCTTATCTCTAAATAGGGGGGAAAAAAAAGAAAGAACATATAAACAGAATATTGAGGCATAACAAGTGAATCCTAAAATTGTATGTGCTTTTTGTTTTTTGCTTTTTCTTACTGCTGATTTTTTTTTTTTTAATGTTAATACCCTTTCTGCTTGCTGAAGAATCCAAGTAGTTTTGTTTTGTTGTTGTTGTTGTTGGTTTATAATGAACAGGCATTTGAACTGGGCAAACAGGACGACAGCAGCAGTGAGCATGAGATCATTGCTGCAGTGTAGCAAACTGGCACCCTGCCTTCTCACCCTTTTGGTTCAGGAGACAAACGTGTGCAATCCTCATTTCTAAAGTCAGCACAGCCTGGAAGGATTCCTGGTCTCTCCCACCTTCTACCATTCTGCTGCCAGGGACGGCAAGGATTGGTGCAGCTTCTGCGCAGTGCTTTGTGCCTGGAATACCGAGAAGGAAGAAAAAGAAGACAAGCACCCTGGTCCTTTTTTCCAAGAAATAACAGGAGCCATGAAGAAAAAAAAATCTGAGTTTGTCCTACTCCATGCAACAGTGCTGAAAAAAAAAAAAAAAAAGAGAGAGAGACGCTACTGCTCAAAAACAAAAACAAACAAACAAAAATCCAAACCAAAACAAACCAAAAAAAAAAAAAAAGCAAACATTGGCTTGTATAACTACAGAGGCATCGCGCTTTGTAAAGCAGCTTTGTAAGGCAGCATAAGCAAATGAGCCTTCTTTATATGTATATTTCAAAAATATGGCATAATAAGCAATATATTGCACTTGGTGAAATCGCACCTTTCATATCAGGTATAACTTTTTTTGTTGTTTCTTTTTAAGTCTACTGTTATATAAAAGCGGATACTTGAACTTTCAGTTTACTCTTTTATAGCTCATCACCCACCTTACTCTTATTAACTTTTTCCTTTTGCTCTCTTGCTCTAATCCTGACTAGAATAGAAACTTTAGTAAAAATAGAAAAATCTCTATGAAAAAGACGATACCTGTTTTTATTTTTGTTATACATAGAAGTTTTGAAAAAACATTAACATGTTATCTGTGCTTTTTGTGTACAGTATTAGTTTTTGCTGTCTAAGAAGAGTGAGTGTTTAGCCCTAGCTGGTAAAGAAACTAAATCTTTCATGTGCTGTGACTCATAATTTGAAATGTGAAAGAAGAAACTTTTTGAACTTCTAGAAAAGGGTTGTATTAGAATATGTATTAAACTTCTCTGATAACTGAAATTTAGTTTAGGGGAAGTTATATTTAAATTACTCACCAGGATTTCAGTATACCAGAAAAAGGGATGAAAAGATCATTTTCTCAGTTGCTAAGTAGAAAAAAGCTTTTTCCACAATAATACTGACTTTTAAAATATATTTTAAAGAAGAATTTGTCTTACAGCTGTTACTGAGAGCGTTGGAAAAATCCATTAAGTATTTTAGTGGAGAAAGTACATATAAACTTGTATGTTTAAAGCAATGTTTTGGCTTAGCAGATAAATGCATTGCATTCTAATTATTTTGTCTGTTTGTAGAAGTAAATTGCTAAGCAGTTTAAGCATTTTATTATAAAAACCCAGTTTTGCCTGGTTCAGTGGGAAAGGATTAACTGATGTATTGCACCTATTTTAATTTTTATTAAAACTGTTTCTAAACACGTTTAAAAATTGTTAAAGAGAGAAAATGCTTTTGAAATATAGAGCTTATATAAATAAAGACTATAATTTGCATGTTAAGAATTGATACTATATTTTCCATGAAAAGAATAAACTTTAAGCAAACTGTTGTGCTTTAAAATCGTATTTTATTATAATAAAAATATATAGGGTATACAGTGAAAAATACTATAGAACCGATGAATTCTACCTTCTTATTTGTTATTCTACAAAGAATTGTGGGAAATTACAAATACCCTATATACTGATAACATTCAAGTAAAACGTTTTATTAAGTTTATTGGTGATTGTTCACTAATTATTTAAAAAGTAGCTCTTGTTCCTTTATGCTGCCTCAGCTAATGGAACATCAACTTTCACAGGCTTAATTAACATTTATAAACCTGTTTTCATGTTTCAAGATCCTTTAGTTGAAAAACATTATTTTAAATGTTATTTTTAGGAGCCATTAATCTCTACACTCTTAATTATCTTATTAAGCTCCATGCCAAATCCAAATCTCTTTTCAGCTTTCACTAGTTCATTGTGCAAAACATAGTCCCTTCTTTAACAGCCATGCCTCCTTTCACTTTCAAAACTGTTACTGTGAAAACAACACCAACCAAAATGAACGCATAAATGCAAACTATGAAACCACATTATATGTCATATGAGTAGCCTTGGGTGGGGCTCCATGAGTCTTCCAAGCCTTTAAAAAAAATACATTAAAAGGTTTTGCCCATTTTGATATTGTGTTTTCTTCTCGATCGTCTACCTTCATTCCCACCATCCACCCAGATGCTCCTCCTAAACAGCAGTTGTCTGATATTTCTCCCTTTGTGGTTGTTTTAGGGAAAAACTTAAAATGGATATGAGAAGTGAAGAAAGTGATCATAGGAGAAAATCATCTCAGGTAAAAATAAAAAGCAAAAGAGCAATTAATGTTTAAATCTTTTAAAGAAAAAATAATTTTGACTGTGTTTAGTTATAAGAATTTGTTTCATACTCTTTATGGATCTAGCTGTTGGAACTGTCACTGATGGTTTAAGGATTTATAATATTACCTACTTTTGTGAAAAATTTTTCTCTCAGTTTGTGATCAATGTACAGTTCGGTTCCCTCTGAATATAGATCTATATATCCATTCCTATAACATAGGTGAAATACAGTTGAATAGAAAGTAATTTAGGAAAAAGAAAAATTATATTTTGTCATTTGTCATACTATAAAAAAGGAAGTGAAATCTAGGGAAAGAGAATAAAGTCATGCTTTTTCTTTTTTATGATCTAATAAGAGAATGAAACCAAAATATACATTCTTATAGTTAAGATGAAATGCAGAACAAATATTGCCTTTTATTTCATGTCTAAATTTATGAATATATGTTGAAATATTTTTACTACATTTGAATTCATGATTATTGACTTTTTTTACTGTAGTTTTTAATAAGTATGGGAATAGTTAGAAAACAATAGTAAAAATTATATAGACCACATTATCTATAGTTTATAAAAAACATTTTATTTATTTCAAAACATGCAAAAACACTAATTAATTTTTATGTAGTAATATTAGTTTTCACAATGAAGATATAATTAAAAATGCTAAATATTGTGGATATGAGTGAAACGATTAATAATGTACAACTTTTAATTTTGTTGCCCTTGAGCCTGGAATCTTAAAAAACGTGTACGTGACTGGCTTTATGTTTACTCTTTGTGTGTTTGCTTATTGTCTGGTGGTTTAAAATTTTTTTTTTAATAACAATTTATTTTGCCCAACCTGTTGACCAGATGAGAGTTGTATGCAGTCATATAGTATGTTTTGAGTATATCTTTTTTGAACAATAAGTTTAAATATATTGTGTTTAAGAAACAAGATATCCTCTTTTATGCAATAGACCTGGAGTTTAAATGTTAGCGCGTGGTGGTAGTAATAATGCTATTAATGTATCATTAATTTTTGTTTTCTGATATTAATTTATCCAAATATTGTTCATTTCAGTATTATTCCAACTACAGACACATATGTATATTTAAGAATTTAAATAACTTCCTGTGTTCTTTGCCTAATCAATAAAATCTTACTTGTTTTATGAGAAAGTTATAATATTACCAATTCCTTGAAACCACTAACTGAGGTTTTATAAGAGTTAAAACAAGCAGTCTAACTCTTACACAATTAGCTTAATAGTTAATTTGGTCTTAATTATAGGCTTATAATACTATATTCATGCCTTAAAATTACATAATTCATACATGCATGTATGGATTCTTTTTTATTTTCTTTTAAAATTCATCATTAATTAAAATAGTCTAATTCCAAAATATTCAACCTTAAAACAAAAGTAATCTGTGAAAACTCTTTCACTATACTATTTTTAAAATTCTCATGTATATAACCTGTATTTAGTGTAGAATATTTATGAAGCCCTTTAAGTGGGAATATGCATACTTAGAGCATTTCAGCATTTAAATACTTATGCTAAGGGATTGATATTATTTTGGTCTCCTAACTTCATCATACATTTACAACAAATTCTGCATTATGAGGGAGCCCATGTGAGATGTTGCCCATTGGCATAAACCCGTAGATCCGATCTTGTGGTGAAGTGGACCGCACAAGCTCGCTTCTATGGGTCTGTGTCAGTGTGGTAATCTGACAAAATGCTATACACAATGCAGTTAAATAATATTTCAATCAAACTCCTGTTAAACTCTAGTTGTTTACTTTTGAAGTGACTATATTTTCCTTTGGTTTTCATGTATATATATAGATATATATATAAATCCTCACCTGTCTTACGAGGCAGGCTTCAGTTGTTGACCACTTGGAAGGGCTCATAGCACAGCCATTGAAGTTTAAATCCAAGTATATTAAATTGCTTAAGAAATTTGAATTTTTTATAGCAAGGTTTGCACCAAGCTCTGAATAGATCCTGTTCAGAAACTTCTGTTCACATTCCAGTGGTTAGTGCAATTCATCAACTTTAATAAGAAAATTAAAGGCTATAACTGGATTTTGTGTCCCTGTTGAGCCTAGTTCTCTTTATAAATGAAGCTGAATGATACTGACTTTTAATATTATTAATTGCTGGTGGAATTACTCCATGAGAGATGTCAGAAGACATTTTATATGACCTATGCTGGAAACCCAAGAGGTTAGGATAGTCCTAGTAGATACATATTAAGTTTATTGGTAAAATGTTAGAATATTATATCTACATCCTTGCCAAGTCCTTAGGTATATGGCTGCCATATTTGGAGGAGCTGACTGAAGATATGATAAGGAGTTTGAAGCAACATTGGAAGCTGTGTGCATCCGGGTTGAGGTAGTAGGTTGTATGGTTTAGAGTTACACCCTGGGAGTTAACTGTACAACCTTCTAGCTTTCCTTGGAGCACACTTGAGCCATCGAGGAATTCTTCATCATTTTAATCTAATGGAGCTAATTTCTGTGCAAGAAGGTTATGTGTCATGAGTATTTTAGATAATTAAAATTATCCTTTGTCCGTAAATATTAGATTATTATATTTGCATCTGCTTATAAACTCTGGCAAGATGGTATTTCTGATAGGTTGTTACTCTATGATTAAACATTTTTAAGAATTGGTGAGTAGTGACAAACTGCATTTATATTGCAGCTTTCATCATCCATAGATTCACAAAATTTGGCACTTAATTTTGCAAACTTGTCATTGGTCTTTCTATTTTTATTGGCTACTTAGACACTACAGTTAAAAAAAGAAGTCTGCTAGTGTCAATGACTTTCACAGCACATTGTCTGAGTCTTTCTTATGACACATCACTTTCTCCCTTATGTTATGGCTATCTATGTGCTTGTTTATTTTTTCCATACTAGACTGTAAGCCCCTTGAGGGCAAAGTCCATGCCTTATTTTTCATTGTATCCCCTGCAACGCCTTACACATAATAAGATCTATTTATTTATTGGATGAATGAATGGAGAAGATCTCACCCTGTGATGAGTTTCTATGGAATATTTGAATGAATTACAACAGTGGTCATAAATCTGAGTTTTTTTAAATTTGTCCTAAAACTTACCTAAATTTAATTCACAGAATGCTGTGCATCAGCAACATACTTGACTTGTTTTTTGACTGTGTTGAGTATGTCTACTCGTCATAGACATATGATTTAATTTCAGACTGCTTTTTCTCTAGAATAAAAATAATGGACCAAGTTCATTTTTATTAATAAGTTCATTACAGTTTATAATCTTACATTTTGATTATGTAGATTTCTTTTGACTTTTTAAAGTCCTTGATTTCCAGATGAATGATTTTCCTTTCAGCATGTCTTATAAATCAGCTTTTTGTATACTGTATACTTTCCTTATCTTTTACTTTTAATTTTTCTACAGCTATGTCTGTTGAGTAAAACAGGAACAACTAAACCAGAAACGTATTAAGAAATTAATAACAAATAAGTATATGAAGTATAATTTGAGGATTACATTTTTGCTTGAAGGAAAGGCACCTACAATATTCTGTCTGTACAAAGCAAATTGGTCTCTTTGGAGTCCATTAGCTTCGTGCCAACTTTAATGGCAGTGAATGGTGTAGTTTATATAGATTGTTTTTCAGTCACAGAATTAAATAGCTGTAGATATTATACCTTATTTAAACTCCCAGCATGAAACATTGAATACATAAGAAAAGGTTTTTAGATACAATTATATGTTAAGAACTATAAGATCCTGGCTATGTGGTGATGAGATTTCTATAGAACACTCTGGCATCCAGATGTCTCAGAATCTAGAATTTACCAACAATGGCAGTGAAGAAGGAACTTTCGAATTACCAAGGGGAAGAACACATGAGCCTTAGAAGGCTTGAATACCAGTGAGTTCAAGCAAAATTATTTGACTGCTATGCAGAAGTTAGAAACTAGTAGTCTCTGAGAAAGAAAAGTCTTTTCAAGGACTAATCAAGAGATAATGAACAAGGGTCAGGTGACATAGACAAGAGAGTGAGAAAAAGAGGGTTAGAAGAAACAGACAACTGAGTGGTAAACAATTACATCTTTGTAAATAGTTTAGCCCTTGAGAGCCTAGTTTCCCTTGCATGTGTATGTGTGCATGTGTGTATCCCAATACTCTGTGTACAGATTTGGAGACCAAGTCATGTACACATTGAGGTCCAAATAAAATACTATTTCCAATAAATGCCTGTTTCCATACAGTGCAATAGAGTTAAATATATCGCAGAAGCCAACTATGATGTGCAGTTTAAGGATAATTTTATAAAAATACTATGACAGATGTATAGAATATCTAAAGTGAACTGGTATAAAAGAGTACCTGAAAAGTGACAAAGATGTAGTTATGATCCACTGTGTTAGTCTTGCAGAAATCATAACTCTGAAGGGCAGAGGATAAAATTAGCCTCAATGAAGAAAATAAAGAGAATACTATGTGGGAGAATTATGCTTTCACTAGTGATTAATAGTAAATTTTGCTCTTCCAGGTCCTTTATTTCTGTGAAAAAAATGGCAAATGACAAATATACAAACTGACAAGATTATTTTTAAAGAAACTAAGTTTCAGGACCACTGCTGGTGTCTATATCTAGAAATAGTTAAATTATGACTAAGAAACCAAAGAGAAACTTTGTACATTTAGAAAGTTAGCATTCAACTAGAGAACAACTATGTAAATGGAATAATTCCTTTAAGAATTTTAAGTGGTCAAGTTTTACTCCGTTCCAAGGTTTCCACATTTGGTAACAAAGGAAGTGTGAAAATTCAGGAAACAAACATCAGCAAATCATATTTTACTTAACTAATATCTCTTTTGGTATTTTGGGACACTAAACTTAGGTTCATAGTGGCTGATTGACCTTACATGCTTTGTGGAATGAGGCAGGAAGGAGTGAGAGTAGGAAGGAAGGAAG